TAAGGAGTGCAAAAACATGAGCATCGCACAAGGAGCACGTGGAACTGTATCACTGCCTCCTCTTGAAATGCACCTGCGGATAGCAAGCTGTTCCGGTCTGGATGTCCGGATAAACCAATGCCAACGCGACACTGAATGGACATTCCACTCCCTCATTAGCCATTCTGCCTCTGTATTATTCGTTAGCTTTCTGTCTGTCACCGTCTGCTATCTAAGGACAATGCAAACCTGCTAATTTGCCACGCTTATCGTTTGTCTGAAATGCCCTAGGTTCTATCCAATTATAAAGGGTTGAGTTCGTTCTCTGCCCCACGGTATTAATGATCAAGGTGGAAACGCCAGGCTCTGAGATAATTTCAGCAGGCAGAGCAGAAACAAAGCGGAAGGATGAAGACTGACAGATGACAGGACCCTGGCTCTCCTGCAAGCTTCATTCTCTATCAGTGAAGCAACGCTCCGAGCAAGTTCAAGGGGGTGATTATCACCCACAGGTGAAGCAAGGCAATGCTAAATCAGGACACTTGGCTTCCATAAACACAGCAGAAAAACACAAAACTCCATCTTCCAGTCTGGTTACATATATGTCCTAATTGCTAATTTTATAATTTCTGTTGTGAATGGATTTCACCTCCAATATTTACTCCAGTGTATCCAAATTATAACAGCCTGATGTTTTATTTTTAAGAAAGGGTAAAATATTTTAGAAAAAAAATGAATCCAATGTAGATGAGTTTTAAGTAAAAACGCTGAGATTATGAGACTATGAAACAGCGGGGGGGGGGGGGTTAATTGATTGAAAAAAAAAGAACTTGCAAAAATCCTGATCATTTTGTATCCTCTTTATGTCACTGTCATTCTGTTTGCCGTTCACCGAAAATGGTGACATACTGAAAATCGACAAAAGCCACCTTCGGAGTTTCACAGAAAATGTATAGTGAAAGTTGAAATATTTTTAAAAATTTCACTTAAAGCATTTCTGGGTTTGCTTTCCTGTTAGGAATTAGATAAACTCAAGCTTCCAGGAGCTTCACAGGGCATGTGGGGAAGGCTTTTCTGAGGCCAAGGGCCCTGACTCACAGCTGACCTCTGATTCTGCCTGGTCCCTCAGCCATGGTTTCAGCAGGGTGCCAGAACTACTTCTGTAACTGAGCCCTTCTCCCTAAAGCCTTTGATTGACAAGTTCTCAGGCCTTCCCCTTGCAGTTCCTCTGTCTTCCTCTGCCCATGCTTTAGGTTAACTCCCTACCTGAAAAGAAGGGTGTTAAGTGCCGGGTTAGCACCAGGTCACAAGACTCAGAATTCATTGACCACCACTGTAGCTAACTTGCCAATGCTAGTCTCGATCCTGAGATGCTTCTGGAAAACTCCGGACCCTGATGAAACAAAACACCCACCTGACTACCTGCACCTCCCGGGGGAGCCCCCGGAGCTCAGAAGATGAGCCTGTCCCAGCTGATCAAGCCAAGGAAGGCTACAAGCACCGTGCACAAACCAGGGACTTGCAGCAGCAGCAGCTGCCCACGCACCGCTCTGCTCCAACTCTAAACCCTTCACTTCCTGGGAGTCTGACAACTGAACGGCAGCTGTCCAACTCCTTGCTCTGTGCATTGCAGAACTGCTTCCTTCCAACACCGAGAGGTCAGGGAGTTGCTTGCTGTACACTGGAGGAGAAGATGAGTTTGTAAGGGGTCTACAATATGTTGATTGCATAGTCTGTTATGGTGTACCGTCAGGGTCTTTCCTCTTTCAGCATATGCTGATGCACCCATTACAACTGCATATAAGAATCACACAGCAAACTTCCACACACCCCTTCTCTCACTTTCACACAGTCACTGCGGTCTTCTCACTTAATTCTGCCTCTAAATAAGCCTTTCTTTCAATTCCCAAACTATATGAAATTGATTGGATTATTTTAGCTTTTATTTTCTTCACACAATATAATATTTGAAAATCTTATACTTACAAATCCATCTTTTTCTAATATGTGCCTGATACTTAGAGTTTATTTCAAAGACCAGTAGACAACAAGTCGCTGTCCTGGTAAAAATGAGAAAAGTTTATGCAGGACGTAATTCATTTTAAGAACGTGCTTGTCCACAGGGCTAACGTTGCAGCCAACTGGGTGAAGCTGCGGCCTGCAATGCCAGCATCCCATATGGGCACTGGTTTGTGTCCTGGCTGCCTCTACTGAATCAGCCCTCTGCTCATGGTCTGTAAAAAGCAGCAGCAGGTGGCTCGAGTGCGTGGGTCCCTGCCATCCATGCGGGAGACCTGGAAAAGCGCTTTGGCTCTGGGTTCAGGCATGGCCATCTGGGGAGTGATGCAGCAGATACATCTCTCTCTTCCACCCTCCTCCTCCTGAAACTGATGGCCAAGTCAATAACTCTTTAAAAAGAAGAAGAAGAAGAAGCACTAGGGATTGGAGCAATGGCTCAATTGGCCTATCCTTTGCTTGTAAGCATGAGCATCCCCAATGGCGCCAATTCCTGTGTTGGCTGCTCCATTTTCCATCCAGCTCCCTGCTTGTGGCCTGGGAAAGCAGTCGAGGATGGCCCCAAGCTTTCAGACCCCACAGCTGTGTGGGAGACTTAGCAGGGTCTCCTGGCTCCTGGTTTCAGACTCGCTCAGTGTTGGACATAGACGCCATCTGGGGAGTGAACCAGTGAATCGAGGAACTTTCTGTCTCTCCTCTCTGCAAATCTGCTTTTCAAATGAAAATAAATCATAAATAAAAGAAAAGAAAAAAAAAAAGAAAACGCTTGGTAAAAATGTAGCAAGATCCACACAAAATCAGAAGAAATTAGACACTGTAACATTACCAAGTTACATTTTCTGCTTCCCTATGTTTTGCCTTCTTTTAGCCGAGATAACTTGAATATGGATTTCATTTTTCTCAAACTGCTGATCATTTAAAAATTAGTACAGTCTAAAAACAAGTTTTATGTATTCTGTCCAAAAAAAAGGAAGAGTTAGATATTTGGTTGAAACAGAAGAAATAAAGAAATAACAACACCGGCAAAAGTGTTTACCGTACCCTCCTGGTCCTGTACTGGTTCTTCCCTGAGCACGTCACAATGAATGATACGTGAGTATTTGATTATTATAAATTTTATTAGAATAATAGAAAATAATCCATACAGATAACCATAGGATACACACACGGGAATTAGATAAATTTCATACTTTTCAATATGAAACAAGGTACATATCTCATGGAGATATATTGCCAGAAACGACAAGAAACAATAACCATCTTGGAAATGAAAAGCATAGGAACATAGTCTAGAAATTGCTAAATCATACAAAGGTACACTCCATTACACGTCGCATAAAATAGCAGAACTGGAGAAGGGGCTTCCTCGCTTTCTGACTGGAAATAACGACGCTCAAATGACATTTACTAGTCCTTCTGCTGTGTTTTTGTAGATATATACACTATATACACTTCATACTGGGAAAGTTATGTTTTTCTTCTGTGTGTGAGATGACGTCATCTTCAATGGAATCTCTGAATGTAAAATGGTACTTTATGAGGATCTCAGAATTTCATGATTTGGATTTTATTTTCGCTCTCTGAACGTTTTGTCTTCAAATCCTACGATCTATGAAACATGAACAGGTTCCGGCCAAATGTGAAATCGGTAGGAGAGAGGTTACAAACTTCTGCAGTGTCTAACACTCAATCCGCCAGTTTTCATATACTCTCCGCCTATTGCTATGAAGTCATGTCTTCAACAATCCTTTGAAAAGCACACAGTGAAAGACTGAGTCATACATATCCAAATCAGCAGCATCAACGTGGTTCGATTACAAATTTAACTCAAACTAAAAAAGCCTGCCAGACTCACTCAGATACAAGGTGGGATTTCATTAAAAAAAAAAACTCCCCTCTCCCCCACCCATGGAGGAAAGGGTCCATTAATGGAATCAGAAATTGGAAATGAAGGATTCTGTGGATCTTATTTAATGTTAGTTGAGATTCAGGTCCTCCCTTATGTTTCCCTCCAGGTTTTGATAAAACCTGAGAGCTTCTTCCCAGCTGTGAAAGCGACAATTCTTTTTAAAATTTTGTCCTAATTTTTTTTTTTGAGAATAGCTAAGATGCCAGTGTGTCTACCTTTTATTTATTTATTTTTTTAATCACTGAATAGAATACAAAGAATTCCCTACTAAGTGGAATGCAAGATGAACCAGCGTGGTTGGTCCTCACAACGTGTACAGACTTTCACTCTGCTCTTGGCACAACCCCGCCGCACTTGGGGTGACAAAGCACTTGCATGTCTCCTTCTGCGTCAGTTGGCAGCGACTTCAAGGGGTAGACTCAGAGATGCTCTTACTATCTCCAGCTCTTAGAGATGAACAATGGGGCAACAGAGAAAGCAAAGTCATGCTGAAAGTCTCTTGGCCACTCATCCGTATCCTGTGCCAAAGGTATTCCGCAGGGCCCCGGGTTAGCATTTCCAACCCCACTCACGGACTCACATGTGGCCTGCATCCAGCACAATTATTTTTAAAAGCCACGCTTTCCCCTTGCGGGTTTAAGTCAGCGTTTCTCGGGGACATTGATCGTCTCTTACAAATAATGCTGTTATAATAGGGAAAGAGCATTTGGAGGAAATCAAGCAGCTTAGCCATGGAGAGCATCCTCATTTGTATCTCTGTGTGTGTGTGAGTGCTGTACACTCGAGAGTGTGTGAGTCTTTAATGATAGGCAGTGCTTAAAATCAAAGTTTAAGAAGATTCATATCAAAAATCTGAATTACATAATATGTAAATTCCTTTGGTTTATCAAGTAAATATTAAGGCATCTCAGATTCTCCTAGAAGGATTGACTGTTTTATTATATTCCTCTTTTACCTACAGTGAAGTAGAAAGTTAAAAATACAGAGCTGAAAAACACATGCATATTCACTGCAGTTCATGAAAGCACTTATTTTTTTGTTTGTTTGTTTCAGATAACCAATGAACTTTCCAATAAATACGAAAAAGGAGTAAATATCACCACAGGGCATTCACAATGAACAAGAGTGCTAGAGGGATGTAGCTGGACACAGGGCAGATGTTGGAGATGGCTGAAGTGGATCCTCTTGCGTCCATACCTGCCAAAGGGGAGGGGACAGCTCATGACCAAGAATGGTGGCAAGATACACCCCGTGCATCAGAGATAGAACGTTGACGCCTTCCAAGAAATCTACACGTTGACCCCACAATGATGGTGTTGAGAGGCGAATCCTTGCGAATCAACACCAACATGACCTTGCTTTTGTACTTGGCAGCCTTCAGAGCTCTCAGAAATAAACATCTGTTGCATCTGCAACAGCCTACAATAGTTTGCTAAGGTGACCCAGATGGACTAAGCTATAGGAAAGAAGCAATGCCTTTCCTACCAAAATCCAATTCTAGCATGAACTTACCCCAGGCTCGTGTTATTATTCATCCTCACTTCATTTATCTACGAAGCATATACCGGTTATCAATAGTATCTATAAAGACACTGGTATGCTGAAGTTTTCTGAAATGATTCCGGGCTTTGCTCATCTAGTATTATTTAACTTTAATTGAAATTGGAAAAACCACTTCATCATGTTGCAAACAATTATACCAGATCACACACACTTTTGAGAGAATTCAATGGTTTAATTAAAGAAAGCTTCATCGGATAAGGGTTTGGAAAATCTGTGCTTATTTCTCTTTTATGCATCCCCAGCTAAATTATGATGTCTCGTATGAAACATTTTTAAGAAGCCATCAACAAGAGCTCTATTGTCAGAGAGACTGGATTGTGCAGTCACCACACTGTGCAGGCTCAGTGAGACAGCAGAGGTCAGAGGAAACGTTGCCCTCGCCTGAAGAGGCTGAAACACTGCCCCCACCAATGTGTCCAGCCTTCTCTTTCAACTGTGCCAACGTTGCCTGCTGTAACCTAACCCCGCAGCTTCACTATTCAGGCAGCACGAAGCCTGCTTTGTCTATTTTATACCCTACCAATAATAATATGCTGAAGTGCAGACGGTTTCAGATATGTCTACAGTGCCAAACGATGTGTTATGATCTCTCACATTGTAGAACTATCATAAGTAGTTCCTGTCTTTTAGGACAGCTTGGTTTGCTTGTCTTAGTCTGACAGTTTGTTTGTTCTTCTGGAAATGAAAATTCCTCTATGTTCTCACATCTCCCCTCATATGCAGTTGCTAATGTCAAGTCATTCCATTTTTCAGGAGTTTAGACAAAAGTTTCAGTCTTGATTTCATAATACTATCGATTAGGGCAGCCTAGTAAATGGAACAAAGCTATTTTTTTTTTTCACTAAGAATTAGAGACTTGAATGTGAAGACAAAAGGAGTTTTTAGGATTTAGGTGGAGGCCTTGGAACTCAGGACATAGGAATAATGCAAAGATAAAATTGCTCATGCCATTGGTGCTGATAAAACGCAAGGGGGCTTCAAATTTGTTTGGAAAACGGCATTGACAAATACAGAGAAATTTCTATGAGTTCTTTTTTACATTCCTTCTTCAAGGAGACAAAAATCAACTTCCCTGGACTTCAAATGTGCTGTGTCTACAATAAAGTAGGTCTCATGTAGATCTTGAAAGAAGTGAACGTGAAGTTCTTTTAAATTAGAAATAGATTTTCCTGTTGGGAGCTGTCTATTGGTTTGACTCACCTAAGTGGTTTATGATTTTAACATTGTTGATTTTTCCACATCGATAATTGCCATGATGGGATTGTAACTCCTTATGAAGAGTTATGACATTATGGGAAAAATCAATTGAGGGTGGAAAATGGGGAGAGGGGAATCGCAGACTATACAAAATCGTACAATAAGTTGTCAAAAATAAAAATTAAAGAAAAAATATTGATCTGTAGTTTGTAGAAGGTCTAAGACTGAGAGAGTAAAGAGCCTATCATTGGGAACAGGGCTCCAAACCATTTGTGAGAAATGCTCAGGGAACTATGTCTTTAGAAGCAATCCAAAGACAGATTTAGGCATACATTCACAGCAAAGGGAAAATATCAAATTAATAATATGTACGTCCTTTGCTTTCATTTTTTCTTTCTTCCTATTGTGAACTAGTCTTGAGGAATTTTTTTCACCCTCATCTCTCACATTCCAAAGTCCTCTCAGGGTCTGACTTTATGCTGGGAAAGAAAGAATGGACGAAAGGATGGCGGCTGTATGAGCTCACCACAGCTATGTAAGTGATGGCACATAATGACTTCTCTCCACTTACTGGTCATCCTTGGAATCCTGATCTGCTCGCTGCTGGTCCCATCACCTCCATCGGTGGTGGCCTTCACTTCGATAATGTAGTCTTCCTTAATGGGCAGCAAGAGTTCAGCTGAAGTTTTATTTGTGCTCAGCACCTGTACATTGTTTTGACTGCTAGTCCTATAGAACACCTAAAATGCATAAAAAAATACACTTACTTCTATCACCCTGTTTTATTTTGGTCATGGAAGTTGTTCACCCTGAAATAAAGCTAATTTTGTTTGTCTTTTTCTACCCACCAGAACGTAAATTGCTTTTACAAGTCTGACCACAGGTCTCAGATCAGCGACTGGAAATGGGGAAGAATGAACAGGTTCTCAAAAATCAAGGAACTCAGGGGTTGGCATTGTGGTATAGCGGGTTAAGTTGACACTTATAATGCTGGCATTCCACACTGGAGTTGATCTCTGACTGCTTCACTTCTAATCCAGTACTCTATTCATGAAACTAGGAAAGTAATGGAAGATGGGCCAAGCACCTGGGCATTTGCCAGCCATGTGAAAATCAAGCATGGAGTTGCTGCCTCCTGCCTCTGACCTGGCCAGCATCTAGGCTCTTTGACCTGCTATAGTCCTGTGGGAAATGACTCAGCACTTAGAAGACCTCGCTCTTTCCTTTCTCTGTTGCTCTGTCTTTCAAATAAACAAATAAACCTTCAAAAGAATCAAGGAGGTAAGGGCAGAGCGCATTCCTTCATGAAAGGTGAGGCTGGGGTGCATCTTTGTGAGGTCCGAGAGACACGGCAGGGTCATAGTGTATGGACCTGGCATCAGAGCCAGGACAGTGAATGATAAGCATCAACAGCAGCAAATTGATGCATGCAGAATTTTGCACTGTGCCCAAAATTCCTACCTGAGTAGAATTATGCACACATTTGTATTTCAAAGATGAGATTTTAGGAAAATATCTGTATGGAAGGTTTATTGTGTTTTCAAAATTAGCTGACAGTAAGCACCTCACCAACGTTTAGAAGCTTCTTCAAATCCCAGCATCCCTTGGAGAGCACTAACAGAAGGAGGACAACAGAGCTTTGTACACAAGGCAACTTACTTTATATCCTGTTACTTCGGATTCATTCTCCATTGCTTTAACTTGCTCCCAATTAAGTAACACTTTCGTGTCAGTAGCATTCCAAACAACATTTCCTGGAGGTTGACTCGGAGCTGGAAATGCAAAATGAGCGATTAAAACCAATCTGAGGGTCTGAGGTTGTGGCACAGGCTATGGGCTGCCACTTGCAATGCTGGCATCTTGTCTGGCCTGTCTTGTGTGCTCCACTTCAAATACAGCTACCTGCTAGTGGTCTGGGAAGGGCCTCAGGGAATGGTTTAGGTACTCGAACCTCTTCCACCCACATGGGAGACCTAGAAGAGGTTCCTGGATTCTGGCTTTGGTTTGGCTCAACCCTGGCTACTGAGGCCTTCTAGAGATGGAGTGGAGGATTAAACATGTCTCTCTTACTCTTGCTGTGTAACTCCAATTCTGAAATGCATACATGAATCTTAAATCTATTCTTCTTATTATTACTGTTATTATTATTTTGGAGTGCTAGTACACATGGAGCAGACAAACGACTACTGCAGGCTGCTAATGCAAACAGAACAATAACTTGGGTCATACCTGCTGTTAAGGCGGTTAAAGGCGACCTCAGAAAAATAGAACAATATGTAGGGTATTGCATGTCAATTTCATTATGAGACAACGCATTTTGTTATACTCATAGTATAACTTTGGTCTTTTCACACTTCTGGCCCTTCAGTGACTCCAAGAAAACATGCTGATGGCAAAGATAAGAACATTTCTTGAGCCACCACTAGGGAGATGCTTGCTGCAGAGCCCAAAGAGGCACGCAATGCAACCTGTTTTTCCACTCAGAGGCTGAGAGAAATTGCCAAAGGACCAGATTAAAGTCATGGGAAATGAAGTGTGGATGATTTTTAAGCCAGCCTTGTAAGATGAGCAAAACGAGAAGCAATCAAAAATAAGGATTACTTAGATTTATTCTTGTGAAGTACTGGCTATCCACATGAAAAACAGCAACACCGAGTCCATATTTTAAGGTCTTCATTTTCCCAGTTTAAATCAATTTTTGAGAAAAATAAGGCAACACACTAAAAAGTTAATGAGAATTCCATTAGTGAATTAATGAAACCAGCCAAGGTTTATAAACTTGGAATCTTAATTTATCTTCTTCTTGTAAACACTGGAAGGGAAACCCTTTCATGGAGCGGACAGTGACCGCAGGCATTACTCAGCCACTGCTCAGGTGGGACACTAAAAATCATTTCTTGTCAACCACAAACAGCAAACACAGTATCACCCACTTACTGACAGCATCACATCTGCCCCAAAAAGCATTAAAATAAGATGTCGTTGTACATTTCATCACAGAATGTGGCTGGTGTAACTTGAATTTTATAATGAGAAAGTGATATAAAAGAACAGCTATCCAGGAAAATATTTGAAAAATTTTGGCTCATTTCTTGATGAGAGTACAAGTGGACTCGACCTGCATGGTAATTGATGACGCCAAGCAAGATTTTATTCCCTGAGGATTCCTTTATTCCTGTGTTCCTAGTCTTGAACAGGTGATGTTGGGGCTTGCGTTGTGATGTAGTGAGTGAAGCCTCCACCTGTGGTGCTGGCATCCACTGAGGATGCTGGTAGATGCCCTCACTGTTCCACTTCCATTCCAGCCCACGGGGAATGGTCAAGCGCTGGGGCCCCTGCCACCTACCCAGGGGGCTTACAGGGTGCTCCTGGCTCAGGGCTCAGGGCTGTGGACCAGCCCAGCGCAGGCCACTCTAAGCACTTGGGGAACGAACCAGAAGACAGACGGTCTCTCTGTTTTCTCTCCCTCTGTCTCTCACTCTGACTTTCAAATAAATAAGTAGATCTTTAAAGAAATGATTCCATGCTGTCCATAAAAACTTCGTAATATGATACTACTAATGAGGTTAGATCAGCTCAATTTGTCCAAGATGCAATGGCTTGAAGAGATGGCAATCGCGTAGGCTTGAAACATGAATAGCCAAGTTTAGGGGTTTAAGTCACCTGATAGGAAATCATGGTGGAACTGATGCTGCTTAGGAAACCCATTTAACATGCTCTATCTTGTTAAAGGATGTGCACTTAGAGGTTATAGAGACCTCAGTAATTTTACATGAGCTGCCTATCCCAATACCTGCCTGAAGAATTGACTGCAAACCAGGGTTTACTTTGAGATTCCAAACACATAACTGAGATGAGCCCAGCCTGGAATGAATATTTTTTGAAATGATAGACCAAAAATAGTGAGAGCGAAAGGAAAGAAAAATCAAAGGCTTGTTCTGAGTCTAATTGTTTTTTCTGAATCTTTTCAGTGCTTTTCTCGTTTAGCATCAGGCAGTCAGTCATGGACCATTTTGTGATTTTTGCAGCTTATAAAAAAAGTTGACCTGATTTTTAAAGAATATCAACATCTATATAAACCTCATCCTAAGAAATAAGACTCACACGGAGAGGTTGATTTTCTAGCAACATTTTTGATACCTTCCAAAATACACGAGGCTAAGACAACTATATAGACTTTAGCCTATGCATGCAAGAGGGGTCAAAGGAAATTGGAAGAAAATACATTTATAGGCATTGGAACAAGGGAACAAGTCTTGAAAGCACGGTCCAATCTCTTTGCTGTCTCCCCTAGCCCAATGTGTCCTTGCCTGTCCTTCGCTAAAAGGAATTCACAGGATTGAGCAAGTAATACAGCTGGTCCGATCGGGCGGAAGGAGTCATTGTTTCTCTAACAGGTAAGGATTTCGATGGCCAATATTGTCTGGGAAATGGGGGGCCCATACTCATGCCCATTAAAAACCCAGTCTGAATACAGTCTGGGCCACCAGTCATATACTGGTGTCTGCCTTGTCCAGCAGATAGAAATTTACTTCCCCTTGATTCTTTTTTTCATTGAAATTGTTAACTGCCTAAAATTAAAAAAGAATTCTTTAAAAATTTTAGAAATGCTTGAGAGAAACCTTAAAACTACTTTTTATTACCCTAAGTAAGAATAATATCATCTGGGGCCCGGTGCAGTAGCCTAGCAAGTAAAGTCCTCGTCTTGCATGCACTGGGATCTGATATGGCAGCTGGTTCTAATCTTGGCTGCCCTGCTTCCCATCCAGCTCTCTTCCTGTGGCCTAGGAAAACAGTAGCTGACAGCCCAAGGACTTGGAACCCTGCACCTGCATGGGAGACCTGGACGAGGCTCCGAGCTCCTGGCTTAGGATCGGCATTGCTCTGGCCATTGTAGCGGCTTGGGGAGTGAATCCACAGACACAAGATCTTCCTTTCTGTCTCTCCTCTTCTCTGTATAACTGACTTTCCAATAAAAAAATAAATATTTTAAAAAAGGAATAATAGCATCTGGAAAATTCTAGACCACATAAATTATTTTCCATGTTAATTCTATTATTGTCAGTTAATGCATATCCAATATCTGTAATGTGTTGGACACTGTTTCTATATATCCGTTGACCAGGTCCTTAGTACATTGCTTTGCTGGACCCCCAGAGTTCTTAAAAATCCAAAAAGGTTATTGAATCATGTTCATTGCAGCATTATTAGTCAAAACGTAGCAACCACCCAATTCTAATTGTATCTCAAAAGATGAATGGATAAGTATTTGCATATAGCGGAATATCATCCAATCTTTAAAAGGCAATGGGATTAGAACATGATGTATATGAGTGAATCTTGGGGCCGTTACGTTAAGTGAAATAAGTCAATCATACACACACACAGACATGCACACATGCACAACGCTGTTTCATTCCACCACCGAGCTAGCTACGAAGACGAAATCTGCAACGAGAGGAGAAGAGCCGGTGCCAGAGGCTGGTGGAGACAGAGTGCAGAACTGTTTAAGCTGGCAGGGGTGGAGGCAGTTTCCCTTCCGCAAGATGAGCTCTGCAGAGCTACTGCACAGCAAGCTGAAGATACTTAGCACCACTGAAACTGTTGGCTGAAAAATGACTAGGATGGTAAATTCTGTTTTCTGTGTACCGGAGTACAAGTAAGGGTGTATTTCAAATGTCTTGCTAAGTTATACAACCATTGAGAAGTACTACACAGAGTCACACGGCACCCGTTAAATCCTCTGATGTTCAGATCAGAGATCTCTGCCTAGCATCAGGCACAGTAGCCTTGCCCCCAGACTGCGGCTTGCCTTGGCACACTCTTCTTGGTACCTCGAAGACATCACTGCTCATCATCAAAGTTGCTTCAACCAACTGGCCTGAGCACAAGGAAAAACAGGCTGCTTTAAAGTGGCAGCTTTCCTGCGCATGCAGTAACCTGCAGGAAAACTCATTTCTAGCTCAGTGCACTGCACTGGTCCCACAGGGAAAACAGTACTGACTTTGACATCCCATGGGTCCCACCCAAAATAAGTCCAGGTGGTCCTCAGACCTCACAGCCAGCAGGTTCCAGTAACATCAGCAACACCAACAACCGAGGACATCTGGTTTCTCCCTAATCCTATGAACTGCTCAAACCCGAAGTGGGAGAAAGGTTAGATTAGACAATGGTGCAGCCACAGCACAGAATCACAGGAGGTGGAGACTGGTGAGCCAGGAGCTGGCGCTACAGACACCGTGGTGGAGGCCTAATACAAGAGCCCAGGCCTGACACTGCTAGAGGGAGTGGCACAAGTGACTGCAAACAAGGAGCCAGGTATCAGACGCAATTAGTAAATTCAAACGGTAGACCTGTGGGTGACACAGCTTAGAAACATGCCCTAACAAGAAGAACCTGCTAACCAGAAGTGCAATGACCAACAGCAAAAGAAGAGAGAGAGGCACAATGAATATTACTGAAGACTCCCCTGCAAAGGTGCAAAAACATTTGCCAACCTCAGACTTAACTAAGGAAAACATCGAGAACATGGGGGATACGAATTCAGAAAATCCATTACAAGGCTTCTTATAAAAAATGAGAAGCACATACAGGAATTTAAGGAATATGTCACACAGGAAATGGCAACACTGAAACAAAACCAAGCTGAATTACTGGAAATGAAGGACACAACGGCACAAATTTAAAATTCAGCGGAAAGTCTCGATAGCAGAATGAATGAGGCAGAAGCAAGAATCTCAGAAGTGGAAGGTATTTCTTGCCACAATGGGAA